GCGGCGCTCGTGCAGGCCGACCTGGACAACGCTACAGAGGCGGGCAGGACCAGGAGCGCCGGCGTGTGCCGTCGGCCTGAGGGTAAGCGGAGGAGGGAGGCGATGCGGCCGCGGCTGTGCGGGAGCCACGCGCAGGACCGAAGGGCCCACAAGGCGAGGGGCAGGCGCCGCCCAAGCCATTTTTCTTGTTTAGCTCAACACGCCACAGCCAACCACAGTCCAGGTAGCGGCGGCTGGAACCATCTGCAGGCTGCACCCGAAGGGGCGCAGGCAACCGACGCCGCCCAAGCCCCCGCAATCGACTACACGCAAGAGTGACCCTGGGTAAGAGTGACCTTTGGTGCGCGGCTTTAGGGGCCGCGGGGGGACCAAACACGAGCGCGCAAGACGCTACTACCGCATCGCGTTTGGCGACTGGGGGAACCAATTGGGCCCGCACCAAAGGTCACTCTGGCGAAAGGTCACTCTTACGTCTAGTCGACGCAAGCATGCCGCCAGCCTGCGAGCGCACAGCCAGCCAGAGATGGGCGAGGCCGATGCAGGGCGCTGCTGCAGCGCGTGCTGCGGGAGGCATGCGGGGCCAGGGCTGGGTGGGGCCAGCCACGAAGCACCGCCAGCGCCGTGGGCACAGCAGCAGCGAGGCGGAGCCGCAGCCTCCCTCCGAGAGGGGCACCGAGAGAGAGGAATGTTATTATTATTATTATTATTATTATAATCATATCAACCATGATAATCATATTAATAATAAGTATCTCAGTGCGACCCTACCTACTGAAGTTAAGCTAAAGCTAAGCTAAAGCTAAACTAAAACTAAGCTAAATCTGAGCTAAAGCTAAGCTAAAGCTAAGCTAAAGCTACGCTGAAGCTAAGCTAAAGCTAAGCTAAAGCTAAGCTACAGCTAAGCTAAAGCTAAGCTACAGCTAAGCTAAAGCTAAGCTGCAGCTAAGGTAAATCTAAGCTAAAGTTAAGCTACAGCAAAGGTAAAGCTAATCTAAAGCTAAGCTAAAGCCAAGCTGAAGCCACGCTAAGGCTAAGCTAAGGCTAAGCTAAATCTAAGCTAAAGCTAAGCTAAAGCTAAGCTAAAGCTAAGCTACAGCTAAGCTAAAGCTAAGTTAAAGCTAAGTTAAAGCTAAGCTAATGCTAAGCTAAAGCTAAGCTGAGGTAAGCTAAGCTAAGCTAAACTAAGCTAAGCCACAGCTAAGCGAAGCTGAGATGAAGCTAAGCTAAGCTAAGCTAAGATGAGATAAGCAACGCTAAGCTAGGGGGACGTATCTGGGGGAACCGCGGGGCGAGGACTGGGGGAACCGCCCGGGGCGTTTTCCACTGCCCGCCCCTTGAAGCAAACCAAACAAGAACCCTCTAGGCAGAGCCTAGGTAGGGAATAGGCTAAGCTAAGATGAGATAAGCAACGCTAAACTAAAGGGACGTAACTGGGGGAACCGCGGGGCGGATGCCGGGGGAACCGCCCGGGGCGGGCCCCACTGCCCGGCCCTTTAAGCCTCCGAGTAAGAACCCTTCTAGGCAGAGCCTAGGTAGGGAATAACAATACTAATAAAACTAATCACACTTAAATATTAATACACATACGAATACTAATAAGAAGACGAATAATACTGATACTCATACTGATAAGAACAAGGAACATAATCAGAATAATAATAATAATAAGAAGAAGAAGAGGAATAACAACACGAAACAACACCTAATACGAATTCCACTAATAAACAGACTACCAAGAATAATACGACTAATAAGAAGATTACTAAGCAACAAAATAATAATACGAAGAAGAATAATAAGAACAATAATAAGAAGAGGAATACTAGGAAGAAGAAACATAAGGTACAGTCTCGACCACACAGGCCCCGGGCCTCCTCTCCCCGGGGGCAGGGGCCCTGCCTGATCACCCTGTGTGGAGCTCCCGAAGGCCAAGGGAAGAATCGTGACCTGGGTTTTGGGCTGTGGAGCTCTTGGGGCCCACAGGAGGAATCGCGACCTGGGTTTTGGCCTGTAGTGTTGGGGGGTCCTTGCGCGTCGGGGTCCCGGGCCCCGGGCCCGCCCGCGCTCCTCAGGCCAAAACGATTTATCTGGCATTTGTCCTTTTGGGGGGGGCCTTGCGCGTTGGGGTTTCCGCCTGGCGCGTAACCTCTGAGGAGGAGGAGGAGGAGCAGGAGGAGGAGGAGGAGTTGGGAGGAGGAGGAGGAGTTGGGAGGAGGAGGAGGAGGAGGAGGAGGAGGAGGAGGAGGAGAGGAGGAGGAGGAGAGGAGGAGGAGGAGGAGGAGGAGGAGGAGGAGGAGGAGGAGGAGGAGGAGGAGGAGGAGTTGGGAGGAGGAGGAGGGAGAGGAGGAGGAGGTTGGGAGGAGGAGGAGGAGGGAGGAGAGGAGGAGGAGGAGAGGGAAGAGGAGGAGGAGGAGGAGGAGGAGGAGGAGGGAAAAGGGAAGAGGAGGAGGAGGAGGCCGGAAATGGTGGAGGGAAGAGGAGGAAGAGGAGGAGGCCGGAAATGGTGAAAAGCATTCCGTCGTGATCTCTTCATGGCTCGAGGGGGTCTGGTCGCCTCGACCGAAGCGGTCGCCTCGGCGCGGGCCGACTTCCTGCCAAATCGGGGCCCCGGGAGGTGCGGGTGGACGGGCGATACGACTCGCGGGCGCTTGCGCCGTCGAGAACTCCCGATGACGCCCCCGAGAAGCCGGCATCGTCGAACTAAGCAGGGACTGGGGATGAACAGCAGATCCGTCGGTCGGACGACGTGAGAAGCATGAAGTGGGAAGGCGTTGGAAGCAGATTCGGCTTCCGCCCGCCCCCTGAAGGGGAGGGAAAGAGGACAACCACTGGACCCTTGAAGCAGGAAGGCGCCGAAAACAGATTGGAGCCCGGGAATCCAGAAATACCCACTTTCAACGACCGACGTGCATTCTCGCCTCTTCGATTGCGGGCATCAGTCTGGCTCCAAGGTGGCCCCACATTCCTGCAGGAGGGCCTGGGAGAGTCCCAGCCGAGCCCCATCTGCACCCAAGAGCGCCCCAACGAATCCCCAGAAGGGCCTACGTACTCTTGCTCTGGCGCGCGAACAAAGGCACACTTGTCGATGAAGCGCCTCCAGGATGTACGGCCCCAAGAGGGCCCGAAAGGCCCCCCAAATGACGTCGAGAGAACCCCATGAGAACCTCAAAGGCTCACAAGAGAGCCCCAGGGGCGCCCCACCGAAGCTCCAATATGGACGGTTCCCGAAATCCGGGCCCCCCCTTCCCAAAAACCATCTCTTGGACATCGACCCGTCGCTTGCGCTGGCCTCCCACCGTTGGAGGCGGCCCTGATCTACTTCCGCCGCCTTCCGCCGAGGAAGAGACGCCGACTCGTTCGATCCCTCGAAGGGGGGCCCGCCTTGGAGCGCCCCGTCTCGCTTCAAGAGGCTCCGAGCCCCACAGCTGGCCACTGCTGGGGGGCAACCCGGGCTGGCACAGATTCGGTGCAGCCGGTGCCCTCTTGGTCTCAGGGGCGCTTATCCCTTATCCCCTTCCCTTGCCACGGCAGCCTACCCGAAGAACAGTTTGTGGACGGGCGGGTGCAGGAGAAGAAACAACGCCATAAGCATAATTTGTTGGAGCTCTGTGCGGATTTCTTGGATCTGCGATGGAGCACGTCAGGGGCGGCGCTGGAGGCGCCGCCGGGGCGGCCCAGGCGCGGATCCAAGACATCCGCGCGGAGCGCCAAAAGTTTATGTTCATGCAGTTGTTTCTTGTTCGAGGGTGGAGATGCGCCAGGCGTCAAGAACTGCGCATCGGCGTATGCGATGCGCTTGCCAGAGCGCGAAGCTGACGCAGAGCTGAACAATTCCCACCATCTCGACGTGAGCCAATGGCGCGGGCAACAAGGAGATCGGCCGGGCACAACGTGCAAAACCGGGGGAGGAATCGGAACTAAGACGAGGCCTCCTCCTCCTTCTTTTCTCCCTCCTCCCTCCTCATTTGTTTCCTTTCCTTTCCTTGCCCTCCTCCCTTCTCCTCCTGCCCCTCCTCCTCCTGCCCCTCCTCCTCCTCCCTCCCTCCATGTCCTCCTGCTCCTCCTCCAATGGAAGGCGTGCGGTCCCCTGCGCGTTGGCGAGATCTTGTTTACATGCAACTCAGCATAAAAAGTGCCAGCTTCCCAGTTGATGGGAAGGGGACTCCAAGATGCAACAGCTGACCCAAAAGAAGGGAAACTAAAATATATCAACATATATATATATATATATGTATCTATGCTACAACGACCCGCAACAAGGTCGAGGAACATGCAAGCCGAAGTTTCTGCCCACGGGGAAAATGAATCGCACCCGAAATATGCACGTGCGGCAGAAGACGCTACCTGGGGTGCCAGCTCGAAACTGCGGGAAGCTTGGAGCGAACCTGGACCTCCGACTTGGACAACTCACGACTGAAATGGTCTGTCGTTTTCGGACTCCGGGGGCCGTTTCGGGAATTGGGAGCCGTCAAGAGGCTGCCCCGCGCCGAACGACTGGCCCCTGGAAGTGGTCGAGAGGTCTGGGGGCCGCGCAATGAAAAAGAGGGCCGCCGTGTCGGAGGGCTGGGAGCCAGGGCACACGGGACGAGCGCAGTGCCGCACCCTGCTCTGTTTTAGGCGAAGCTCGGACGAGGATCAATTCGCGTGACGGTACATCGAGAATCTCTGAGATCCCGCGGCCCTGCAGAAATGACCCGGGCGTCGCGGCCTTCCCAGAGCGTTCCGGAACGCTCTGAGAGCGCTGAGCGCTCCGGAACGCTCTGGAACGGGTTTATCTTCGTCCTAGCCCCGTTCGACTATACTTACAGACAACCGACGATGCGAATTTTCCATGCGCGGCCCCCGAAGCCCCGACCCCTTCCACGGGCCAGCTCGTCGTCCCGGATCCGTGCCTGATGGCCCCGGGGCCCGATATATACCGGGCTCTGCCGCCGCCGAGGTAAAGCGCCGGGATCGAGCAACTTCCCGCCGTCGGAGTCTGGTGGTAAATTCGGAGGGCACTACAGGCTCACGACGCCGGGCTCCGCCTCGGAGCCTTCTCGCACGCCCACGTGGCCGATGTCCTGCGTGACTGCGCTCTTGCATGGCCCCGGCCGGGGCCCGGGCTCCTCCGCGCTAGGCGCGCGCAGGGGCTCCTCGCTTAGCACCTTCAGGTTGTCCAGCTCCTGCTCGGTATCGTTTAACCGATCCCCATCCCCATTCCCATTCCCTTCGAGACCCCCGCCAAATTACCACCCCAGTTGGGGATACGTACACCCCTCGAAACCCGAAGGGAGCGACTTATATCCCCATCTAGGGGCGTAACTCGGCCAGTGGGGCCCAGGCCACGCAGCTGGGGATGGGGATCGGTGAAACGATACTCGCCTGCTGCAGCGTGCGCCGGCGGTACTGCTTCAGCTCGGGGTTGTTGAACAGCGTCACCAGCACCCAGAACTTGTTCCTGATCCGCTTCCTCCTGGCGCTCTGCTCGACCTCGCCCCTCGTCGGAGGAGCGGGGGGGAAGGCGACGTGCAGGTACGGAATGAGAAGTGTCAGGAAGCATCGCCGCACGAGGTTGCGCCGGTTGCTCTGTGTGAACGCCATGGCCAGGAAGGCGGCGTAGCAGGGGTCGAGGGCCTTGACGGCCTTCTCTGGGAGGACCGTGTGGTGCATCAGCGTCGAGGTGTAGAGCGCCCCAAACACCGAGAATACGAAGCGGGCTGGCACCGTGAAGGCAGCCCAGACAATGTTGAGCATCACCAAGACGTACCTGGAGGCCTCCCAGATGGGATCGGAGCAGATGGGGTCGGAGGATCGCGCCGCATCGGCGATGCATCGGCGATGCATCGGCGATGCACCGGCGATGCATCGTCGACGTCGGCGATGCATCCGCGACGTCGACGTGAAGCACATCGGGCTGCACATCGAGCCGCATCGGCGATGCGGCGCGATCCTCCGACCCCGTCTACTCCGACTCCATCTGGGAGGCCTAGAGTACCAGAGCGGCGCGAAGATCGGCGGGGCACGTATCTCTCCATCCTTTATGAGGAGCTTGTCCACAACTACCGACTTCAGGACAAACTTGACGGCGAACACCGTAAGAAACGGATAGACATAAGTTTCGAGGAGGCGCAGAATGAGAGGTTTTGTAGTTTCGATGAAGAAGAGAACCACTGGAGTCACGAGAGATACCACAATCACGAAAGTCATGCACGTGCCAACAAAGAAGGCCAGGAGCGTGAGCACGATGAGACATCCAGGGAATGCCGCGGACACGGAGAACGACCCACGGAAGTGATTGCGCAAGCCCGCCGCCGAATACGACTTGTCGCCGCCCTGAATCTTCTGCACCATGGAGTCGAATGCCTTCGTCGTCTGGTAGATGGAGTTGATGGCCAGGAAGAGGCCGCCGATGATCGACACCCGGGTCCCGAGAATGACCAACGGCGCGACGATCCGGAACTCGTCCGTCTTCGCGATGCGGAAGAGCGAATCCAGGAGCGCCGCGAGCTGTGTCGTCACTTCCTCCCAGGCGCTGCCCGAGGCCCACCCCTCCGTCAGCCTCTGGCGGCGGGGGGACAATCGGGGGTGGACAGGAGGAGGAGGAGGAGGAGGAGGAGGAGGAGGAGGCATGGGCAAAAAGCCCTTGAGCGAAAGCTGCCAGGGCTACTCCACGTGCGCACGCCGCCGCACTCCGAATGCACCCCAGCGGGGCAGCTAACCGTCCAACACACGACCGAATGCATTCGGCGAAACGCACGTCGATTCGCGAAACCGACTGCGGACTGAACCGGCACCACCGCATGCCCACTTCGAGCGAACCCGTGCAGATTTCCTCAATCGACTCGTCTGAGGGGGTGGCTCGTGACAGTTTTTGTATCTCCCGGGGAACGGTCGTTACCCCGGGTCGGGGTTGGGGTGGGGGGCGGGCGGGAGAATAACAGTAACGACAGCCGCGGCGTGCACCCGCCAGGGTGCGTCCGCGCCGCCGGCGCATCAATCGCATGTGTACACCACAACGTGTAAGGGGGGGGGGTCCAGCCCCTCCCCAGTACGATCGTTAGCGCCACCCCGAGGGGGAGGGGGGCGGAGGATAGCAAAACCCACCCCAACCCCCAGCAAGGACCCCCACCTCCGACCTGGTGATCCAGAGGGTCCTGGCTGGGGGCGGAGGTGGTTTTGGAGTGGTTCCCGCGGGCCAAGAAACAACCCCAGAGATCCGATGTAGTGATTTTTTCAATGCGGGGTCCCTGGAAGTCTCGACCCATTCCCCCGGGCCGGTTTTTCGTCCTGAATCGTTATTCGACGGTCCCGCGGCCCGGCGAGGGCCCCCAGAGGCCAAAAAATGCGAAACATCTCCGCCTCGATCTCTTCAGGAGGAGAAAAAGGATGAGGAGAAAAAGGAGGAGGAGAACGAGGAGGAACTTCTGTGGCGTCCGAGGGCCTCCGTGCCTCCGCGGCGCGGCCGGCTGGCGGCGCCCGCGCCTCCGGCGCCGGGCGGCCGTGGCCCTCTGGCGAGGGCCGCAGCCGCCGCGCGGCGAGCCCGGCGTCCAGGGCGCACTGGGGCGTGGCCTCGCCCACCGTGGTGGAGAAGACGCCGAGCTCCTCTCGGCGGCGAGCGAGGGAGGAGAGCTTCGAGGTGCGAACTTGGAGGTTCGAGGTGTCCAAGGCGGTTTTGTCGCAACTTTCGGCCGTTGTCGGGCCCCGGGGCCCCCGAAACTCAATCCGGGGTGAGGAACCGCGTCGGATGGACCCTGGGAGGGGTCCGGGGACCGATTCCGACCGATATTCGGCGACGCGCCAGGGGGGGAATTCCGAAGGAGAAAGCCTTCTCAGAAGGCTTCGGGACTTCTCAGAAGCCCTCTGTCCTTCGGAGAAGGTGCTCTGTGTCTTCGGGGAAGGCTAGAGAAATTCTCGGAAGGCCGGGGGAATTCCGAGCCTTCCGAGAAGACACGGCCCTTCTCACTTCCCCCCCGGGCCCCGGGCTGGCCGCCGATCCTCAGCTGGAGGCCTCGCAGATCTCGCCATCGCTCGGACGTCCACTCCCCGTGCATTTTTTCGATTTCGCGCGTGTTGTATGTAGTCGATCGATGCTCCTCGATAGTCCTCGCCAACAAGAAGAAATGCGCACATCCCAGCGATGCCAAGAGATGGGATCCGAGTAGATGGGGCTCGAGGATCGCGCCGCATTGCTATTGCATTGCCGATGCATCGACGATGTATTGACGATGCAGCGTCGACGTCGGCCAAGCATCCGCGACGTCGACGTGGAGAAAACCGGGCTCCACATTGAGCAGCATCGCGGATGCATCGGCGATGCGACGCGATCCGCCGACCCCATCTACTCTGACCCCGCCTGGGAGGCCTAGATCAGCAGGGGCCCCTGGCCCCCCAACCCAGACATCCGGCCGCTCCAACTTTTTCGATGCGTGGGCCCGGAGGTCTGGACCACTTCCCTGGGACCGGTTTTTCGTCCTGAATCCGTTTTTGACGCTCCGGGGGCCCGGCGAGAGCCCCCAGAGGCCGAGAACGGCCAAAAGCCCGCCGCTCCGATTTTTGTTGAGCGTCAGATCTCTGGGAAGCTCAGTGCTCAGACCCCTTCGCGTCGTGACACGGATTACGACGGACAGTTTGGCCCCGTCTGCGCGTGCTCTTCGGTCTTCGGAGGCCCTCGCCGGGGCCCCAGGACCGTCGAAGAACGAGATACGGCTGCGCGCAAGAGTGACCCTGGGCAAGGGTGACCTTTGGTGCGCGACTTTGGGGGAGCGCGAGGGGGCCAACACACAAGCGCACGAAACGCTACTGCCGCATCGCGTTCGGCAGTTGGGGGACCTCAGTGGGCCCGCATCAGAGGTCACCCCCGGCGAAAGGTCACTCTTACGTGAAGTCGAACGATGCAGGATGAAAGCCCCGTGCTGGGGAATGGGTCCACGCGCGAGGGGACCAAACGCAAGCGCACAAGACGCTACTGCCGCATCGCGTTCGGCGACTAGGGGACCCTATTGGGTCCGCATCAAGGGTCACACCGGCAAAAGGTTACTCTTACGCGTAGTCGAACGAAGGATGAAAATCTGGCCCCGGGGACATGGGTCTAGACCTATGGGAGAGGACGCCCAACTCCTCCGCAGGGCACCCAGAGGCTCCCGCGCGTGTTAAGACATGCAGTGCCCAGGCTCCCTCGCGCATAAAAGAAAAATCACGGCGGGCGGTTTTGCGTCATGTTTTCGGCCTCCCGAGGGCCCTCGCCGGGCCTATGGCCCGTCAAAAACGACGCGGATGAAGAACATGTCCCTGGGAATGGGTCGAAGCCTCTGGGGGTCAACGTCGGCTCCTCAGCAGGCAGGGTCAGTCAGCATCGGATCGGGACCCAGAACTCCAACTTCTTGAAGTTACACCCTTGCGGCAGAAGACCCTAGACCGCTTTGCACAGATTCGATGGGAGCCACGGTGGGGATCACGATCCGACGTGGGGTCACGATTGGGCGATCGGGCTAAGGACAGGGGCATGTATATGTGAATCCTGGCCTGGTAAGGATACAGGAATCGGGACGTGGATACTGGGCGATATCCGTCGACCCCTTGTGAGGCCACCAGGCTCCACGGATCAGACTTGCTGCTTCCTGCGCCAGTTCCAGTTTCCAGTCTCCAATGTTTCTAGTCCTGCTTTCTGCTTCCCATGGTGAATTGTTCAAACTGTTGAAGTCCGCGCGAGGGGGGGAACAGAAAAGGACTCTGGTTACCACCACCTGGGAGGCTCTCAGAATTTCTGGGGGGTCCTGGGACACATGAAACTACATGAGATTCGCGCCCCCCGAAGCAATATTCCTTGGCAAAGTATGAAATTCTCGCGTCCCCGAAGCCATACACCCTCGCACATTACATTGTGTTCGTGCTCCCGAGACCCAAACTCCGAGTAAATTATGCAAGACTCGTGTCTCCGAAGGTCTCGTGAATTACGCAATGCTTGCGCCCCCGAAGCCACGACCTTCCGTAAATTTCGCGTTCTTCGCGTTCCCGAAACCAGATATCATTGTGAAGTAAGAATATTCGCGCTCTCGAGGCTACAGTCCTGAATAAAAGGCCACCAAGACGGTGCAAGATCTAGCCGCCACCGCCCCCAGGACCCTCCCCTCGGAACCCTCCCTGGACCCCCCCCAGGACCGCTCCAGGCACACCCCCAGAGGGCACGTCAGCTCCAAAAAGCGTCCCCGACGACTCCAAGAGCGCCCTCCCTCCCAAACAACGTCCCCGACGGCTCCAAGATCACCGAATCCGGAGACCCCTGGATCGGCGGCACTGGCCGGAGGCCATTACAATAAAAGGCCCCCAAGACGGTACAAGAAGCCTCCGAGACGCCAAGGGTGCCCCCAGGCGCCCAAGACGGTCCAGGAGGCCCCAAGTGGCGCTCCAAGAGCACCCCCAAGAGGGGGCCAAGAGGCCAGCACCTGCGATTTTGCATCGGTCTTCAATGGGTTTTGGCACGCTCATGTCTCCAGTGGCCCCCGTTCGGAGCTCCGACGCTGCTTCGCGAAGGCGCCCAGGCCTCACAACACAGCTCTTGCATACCCCATTATCCGAGACTGGGGGCCACCGGCAGGGGGCGAAGCCCTCACGGATAAAAGGGATAGGGCTAGATGGGGCAGGGCAAGGGGTGGCACTGGGAGGTCACGGGAGGCAACGAGAGCCCACGGGATGCCACGGGGGCAACTGGATACTACAGAAGGCCTCGTCGTCCCACCGATTGCGCATCCGGCAATCCATCTACTCGTTTCTGAAAGCAATCGCTCATCGGTCGAAGTACACGTCGTTCATTTCAAATCGTGCTCATTTCTAATTGTGCTCGTTTCTAATTGTTCCTGGCCCCCGAGTGGCCAGAAAAAGGCCCAGGATAGAACAATTAGAAATGGAACCGTCTTTGCCCCCAAAAAATCAAAGAGCTTTTCGAACACATAGAATTGAACAGTGTGTATATTGGAATATGGGAATCCAAGAAGACCTACTGTCAACGGCTGGCGTGTATGCAAAACTCTTCACAGACAAGCAAGGCCTTCTCAGAAGGCTCGGAAGTCGCCTGGCCTTTTGAGAAGTTTTCGAAGCCCTCCCCGAAGACAAACAAAGCAAGTTCTCAGAAGGCGCGAGGGCTTCCGAGAAGTCCCGCCGCCTTCTGAGAGGGCCTTCTCCTTCGCACTTCCCCCTGGGCGCGTCGCCGAATGTCGGTCAAAATCGTTCCCCGGACCCCTCCAGGGGTCCATCCGACGCGGCGTTTCGCTCCGGATTGACTTTCGGGGGCCCCGGGGCCCGAAAACGGCTCCCAGAGGCCGAGAACTGCGACAAAAACGCCTCGAACCTCGAACCCCGAAGCTCGAACCTCGGAGTTCGAACCTCGAACCTCGAAGCTCGCCGCCGATTAGGGGCCAGCAGGCCCCCGACGCGGGCCCCCCCCCCGGCCAGGCGGGGGGCGATCGCGCCACGCGGGGAAAGCCCCCCGCAAGCCAGGCTGGGCGGTGCACACGCGCGCCCTACGCTTCGGTCGGGCGTGTACCCCTACAGGGAGATTTCGAACGAAAAATAAAAAACGACCCTCAACATATTCAAAAATACGGAGAAATTGTTTAAACACTCCCCCCTGGCTCTTCTTTCTTTGAACTATTTTTGAATAGTCCTCCTGTAGAGGCACATGCCCGACCTAACTCTACGCGGAGATCTCCTCTGCCCCCAGGGGCGCCGGCGTGGGGCCCACCGCTGCCCTCGATGGCAGAACGGTGTTTGTAGAGGGCAACGAATCCCCCCCATAATAACCACTCCGACAAGCGAAGCTGTTTAGTAAACGCACCCAAAGAAGGAATCGAGCAGGGTGGGGCTGATTAGTCGACGCCCAGGGCCGTTGAGTAAACGCCGGTTATCGGGTCCAGGTGGTTTTTCCTCCCTTGCGGTTTTGAAGGCTGATCTGCCTTCCAAACAACCGCACTTACGCAGGAGCCCAGGGTTCGGGCGTTGGCAGGACAGGGTTTAAGGGGACCTGGTTTAGTGATGTGTCCTGGGGAACGCGCCCCCCCCCCCCCCCCCCCCCGCCCCTTTCCACTGACCGGAACTGCCGTCACCCGTCAAAAACACCAGCTACCGCAGACCAAATTGTCAGTGATTCTGGCGATACTACTAGACGGGTCCCCGTACCTGGGGTTGCAAGGTTTCCTTCGGGGCCGTAGGTGACCCGAGGAGGAGGAGGAGGAGAGGAGGAGGAGGAGGAGGAGGAGGGAGGGAGAGGAGGAGGGAGGAGGAGGAGGAGGAGGAGGAGAGGAGGAGGAGGGAGGAGGAGGAGGAGGAGGAGGAGGAGGAGGAGGAGGAGGAGGAGGAGGAGGAGGAGGAGGAGCAGGAGGAGGAGGAGGAGGAGGAGGAGCAAGAGGAGGAGGAGGAGGACGGGTCGCCTAAGCTCTTCGGAGAAACCCTCTACCCTTCACTGGGGTCCTGGCTATACCCGAAGGGTGGACCCCCGGCCAGGGCTTTGGCGGTGCAGGCGCGCGCGCCCTCCGCGGGGAGCTCCTCTTCCCCCATGGGTGCCGGCGTGGGGCCCACCGCGGCGGTGGAGCCCGCCTCTCGGCGGCGAGCGAGGCGGAGAAGCGAGGATCTGTCTGGTTGACCCAAAAGGGGGTCCAGCGACATCGGGGTGGTGGAATAGATCTGATGCAATAGATTTGTGGGGAAGTAACAGATTTGGGGTGTGCAATACGTTCCAGTGCGCAAGATGAGTAGCTGGGTTTTCGCGTCCAGCTGCAAGGGGGTGGTGCAATAGATTTTGGGCAATGGTATTGCACATGCATTGCGCCGTATAATTGTATTGCATTGAGTGTTAAGTAATGTATTGCGCGCGAAAATCCAGCAAAACATTTGCGCCCTGGAACGTATTGCACGCCCCAAATGTATTGCGACCCCACAAATCTATTGCACCAAATCTATTGCACCACCCCCTTGTCGCTGGACCCCCTTCTGGGTCAACCCGATGATTCTCACTTCGAGGTTCGAATTTCGAGGTTCAAACCTCGAGGTTCGAGGCATTTTTGTCGCAGTTCTCGGCCTCTGGGAGCCGTTTTCGGACCCCGGGGCCCCCGAAATTCAATCCGGAGCGAAACGCCGCGTCGGATGGACCCCTGGAGGGGTCCGGGGAACGATTTTGACCGACATTCGGCGACGCGCCCAGGGGGAAGTGCGAAGGAGAAGGCCCTCTCAGAAGGCGGCGGGACTTCTCGGAAGCCCTCGCGCCTTCTCGGAGGTTTTCTCGGTCTTCGGGGAAGGCTCCGAAAACTTCTCAGAAGGGCAGGGGGATTTCCGAGCCTTCTGAGAAGGCCCGCCTCTTCTTCCTTCCCCCCCCTCGCTCGCCGCCGAGCCTCGACGCCGCTCATCGCGGTGGAGGTCGAGCACGGCATCACGTCGACGATGCCATCCAGCTCCTCGGGGCTCACCTGGCCGAGTTGGGGAACCCTGAGCCCAAAAACGTGTTCATCTCTCGGGGACACATCTTTGTTACTCCCGCCGCCTTCTGCCGACCTTGCGCCGCCTCCCGCCGAGGAAGAGATGGCATCTCCTTCGATCTTCGGAGGCACTGCCCATTCTGGAACGGCTCACCTGGCCGTCGCCGTCCCTGTCCAGGAGCGCCTTGAGGTTCTCGGGACTGGGGTCCCTCATCACGTTGAGAAGGACAGTGGTTCTGTACGCGACCTCGTCAAGCTCGGCCTCGTGTGACTCAGAAGCAAGCTGCCAGGGAAACGCTGGCCGTCGTCAACATCCTTCCCAATGGCTCAATATTGTCTCCAGCATGGCCCCTATGTGTCCACACATTGCCCTTGGATCGTTCTGCCCTGAGAGCGTTCTCAGGGGGGCCAGCGACTTCGCAAGACGCGTCTGACAGACAAGACTATCGATATACCTCGTGATGCTTGAGATTAAAGCCGTCAAGAGAGCCGTGGATGAGGCCCACGGGGTCACATAGTCTGCCAACCGAGAGCTCAGCGATACCACGGCGCATCGAAATGGTTCCACGAGGGTCCAGCTTTACGTTCGTCGCCCGTCCCAGGGGCTTCCTTGGGGCATTTGCTGGGCCGCCTCGGAGGCGATGAGGGCCAATACTTCGAAGAAGAACGAATGCCATATAAAAATAAACTTTTGGGCGGTCCGCCCGGATCTCTTGGATGTGCGCTGGACCACCCTCCCCGGCGCGCGGAGCGCGCCGGGGGCGTCGGCGCCCCCGGGGGGGCCGGCGCGGATCTAGGAAATCCGCGCGGAGCGCCAACAGTTTGTGTTTATGGCGTTTTCTCTTCTCCGAATACTGTCCGAGAGGAGGAGGAGGAAAAGGAGAAGGAGGAAGAGGAGGAGGAGGAGGAGGAGGAGGAGGAGGAGGAGGAGGAGGTGGAGAAGGCGGAGGAGGAGGAGGAGGAGGAGGAGGAGAAGGGGGAGGAGGATGATGAGGGGGGATGAGGGGGAGGAGGAGGGGAGGAGGAGGAGGAGGAGGAGAGGAGGGGGAGAGGGGGAGGAGGAGGAGGAGGAAGAGGGGGAGGAGGAGGAGGAAGGAGGAGGAGGAGGAGGAGGAGGAAGAGGAGGAGGAGGAGGAGGAGGAGGAGGAGGAGGAGGAGGAGGAGGGGAGGGGAGGAGGAGGAGGGGAGGAGGAGGACTGGACTGGACTGGAACTCATGGAAGCCTGGATTCCATCACAACAGCAACTCTGACTGCAACGTGAAATCGCAAAGAGAGCATGACAACTGCTGCACGGAAGACTTCAGAGAAGAGGCCTGCGAGCCTCCGCCACTACACGATGATATGGATGGCTGCCGCGCTCTGCACAAGGCAGCACTGGCCTTGGCCAGCAACCCCAGGCGGCACGCGACCGCACTCAGGGGGCTGGCTCTGAGGCGCGCGGTTCGAGTCTCCCCCTTCCCGCTCCACGACCCCGCGGCCCACGACCCCCACCACCCCGACCACGACCCCGTCCCCCTCCCACAGAAGCAGGCGTTGGCGGTGGCATCGCGATCACTGGGGTGGCTGGGAGTGCTGGGTGACTATATACAGCGACCTTATTGTGCATGCTATCTAGGATATCTTCCCTCACTACTCCGCGAGAGACCAGTTCGCGGAAACGATCAGAATTCTGAGAGGCTCTCACGACTCTCTGTTGGCCAGCAGTCTGGAGATCTCTCTCTCGAGTGGGCCTCTGGGAGCCGCTCCCGATAGGAGCCGCCCCCCCTCCAACTTCAGAAGACGCTCGAATAAGTCCGCTAGGCGACGACCCACCCCCATCTCCCTGTGGAACGAGAACATGATGATGGCTTTCTGCGGCTCTCCCTCGATTTTCTTCATGGTTTTGATCCGAAACATCCCGCGCGCCCGAGCCAACTCGTTCATGCCGATATTCTTTATCTTGCTCTCCCACAGCTCTCTGAACTCCGTTATCAATTTGCGCTCCTGCTCCTCTCCTGCTCCTGCTGCTGGGCTGTGAGTGGCGCCATGTGCCGTGGCAGCGACGAGAATGTGCAAGTGGGGCGGGCCTCGCGCGAGCATCTCCTCCCTGGCGGTGCGCCTGGCCTCGTCCCCTTCCCTCCTTCGTGCGGTCCTTGAGGGCCTTCGAATCGTCGTCGTATGTCTTGCCTCCCTTGAGGCAAGCTGCTGCCAGACCGCTTCCCGCCAGGATTTCGACTTTGATGAAGACGCATGCCGCCATGGCGGCGATCTCCCGACTGTTGCTGAGCACGAGGCGGGCCATTGCATTGGCGAGCATGCGGGGTGCTTTGTCTCCCTGGGCCGACTGCTTGACATGATTGGGCTTCCGTTCGGCTTGGGCCTGTTCGACTGTGGCGGCCCCCCCCCTCGGCCCCCTCCTTCCTTTTCGGCGTCTTGGACCGCGAGGGGAAGCTCAACTCCTCCATCGGCTCTGAAGGGGGCCATCACGGAGGACGGGGCGAACGGGGCGATCACAAAGGGCAGGTGGCTGCAGAGATGGTCACGCAGGTCCGAAAGACTCGAGCCCGTATAATCACAGCGCGGACATGTAAACGAGGGTGGCATACCAGCCACAGTTTTCATAGTAGCTGGCCCACGTGTAATGCAATGCCCCCGAGAAATAGACCCTTGGAGGTGACGTCCAGCATTAGAGGTACTTGCAAACACCTGTCTGCAGTGAACACATGTTGCTGACTGTGAGTGTATGTGCGACATTTCTGACATGGTGAACTTGGCGAAGATGATCCATGTAGTCCCGTCTATTGGAGAATTCCGTTTTGCACCTCTGGCCTTCAACCTCGAGCTCACACGCGAACATGGGGTCCTCGGCGCTCCCATCCGCGGCCACTGCTGTCGAGTCGTGAGTGCCCGCGGCCCCCGCCGACGTCTCGGCGCTATGACGTGTCGGCGCTCGTCCGATAATCTGACCCTCCCCAGGAACCCCTCCAGTGAAGTCCCAAAATCTGCTAAGATAGCCTTATTCAAGTTGTCGGCGTACTTAATCAACGAGAGGTCTGCCCTAATGTCGCCCCACTGTGCGTTGAGATCCTTAGCACTTGGGCCCCTACTCCAGAGCTCCCGCCCCCATCCCAGGATCGGCCTCGAGAACGTGGCCAAGAACATGGCGACAATGTAAGGATCACCCATTGTCCCCCCCTGCTTCGGCTGAGCTGTGCATCTGGCCCCGCTCGTCGGGAGTTCAACCACTGAGTTCCGATGGCGCTGACGACGTACTTCAACATCGTGGTCCGCACAATGTATACCTACGGTAGTGTCCGTCGACTCGTGCGTGCTACTCGCAAATGCATTCGACATGTCTTTCATGCATATACAATGAGTTCTTGACGCCGCTCGTAAACGCCACATCGTACAATTAGATATAAGTACTGCGTTCTCACGCCGTCGGCCCCGTACAAACCCGCGGTCCTGGATAGAGGGCGTTGGTCGCAACTTCGTCGAACAATATCCTTTCCCTACCGTCGGGGGCACGTGCGCGACACGCTTGCCCAGAGGGCCTACCATCAATGACTTCGGGAGCGCCGCTGCCTGACTGCGGTGCCAGTAAAGGGGGGTGATATTATGCCGTCGAATCCTCAATAGTCCAACGTGCAAGAGGAACCACAGGGTCTTGTTGTCGGGGGGGTCCTCGCTCGCGCCCACGCCTAGGTTCTGCTGCGTTCGCCACCGAGGAAAGAGACACATATGCCAGAGTTCGAGAGGGGCCGTGCCCTCTGGGACCACACGCCTCTTGGGCGCGCCCCTGAAATAAGAACGAAGGTTCTGGACATCAGTCTTAACTAAGGAGGTAAGCTCTGGGTCGTCGAGCTCGTAATCGTACGTCTCGCCCTCCCTCTCAGCTCTCCACTCCTCCCATTCAATCGGTTCAACCTGCATGTCGCCCTCGCAACCAGGTTTCTGCCACACGTGAAGCCAGTCCTCAGCATCTGGGGGCGCACCGGTGGCCAATTGTGCATCACGGCGTTTCGGCCCATACCGACAACGAGCTGCACGACGGGAGGCTTTCATCGCCTCCGCGGTACGCCTCCTGGCCCAACATTCACTGGTTTCCTGAAGCAGTCTGGCACGAAACTGACGCAGGTGTTGCCGACGTTCCTTGTGGAGCTGGGCTGAGAGGGCCTTCAGCTGAGCATCGATCTCCTCGGCCCCCTCCTCGCCCCCCTCCTCCTTCCGCCCTCGTAGCTCGACGCGCTGACGAAGCAGGTTTCGGCGGCGTTCACAGTCCTCTCCGTGCCCTGCTCGTCTCTGAGTGTCCCCCGAGAAGTGCACCTGCCCCGCCCGAACCAAGGTTCCCTCCAATATCTCAAATATTTCATCTGGGGACGCGTAGTCACGAAGATAAGGGACTCCTGCCCCCACCAGCTCCTCATTGACGGCCTCTATAAATTCCCACCTCCCCCTCCCAGATCTGAGCCCCTCCATCATGTCATCGTAATTCCAACGGATCCTATCATCAGCTGGTCGCATCAGTCCACCTTTATTGAACTCCATACTGAGCACCACAGGCAGATGATCCCGAGGAGGGGCTCCCCTGATAGGCTGTAATTTAGCTCCTAGTCGACGTAATGGATGGCAATGCCGAGTAAGACGTGCTAACCCTTGGGGGTAACAGATAAAATCAATACAGCTCGAAGAAGTATTCCCGAAAAAAGTATGCTCTGCCCTCTGTTGTACATTCCCCGCTATCATATGGTGTTTCTCTAGCAGCCCGCGGAGTCGTTCACCCGCCCCACCAGGAAGACGCTCAAGCGTGTCAGCGTTCACCACGCCCGTAGGTATCTTCTCATACGTTCCCTGCCTGAACCTTCCTCCCATCCCATCATTTACATCCGAGTAGAGGAAAGGAACGCAGCGGGCGGGTAAGTCACAGATCACCGAGTCCAACCACTCTATCAGGACCGACACAGTCTTATAACACACAGTACGGGCGGCCTTACTCCCTTTAGCAGGTATGGACGGGAAATAAACGCTGATAGCGCAGAAGTCGGCGGGCCCGTGTTTGACTCGGACGGCGAATGCACGGCCAGCAACATCTGCGGGGCTACCCCATATTCTCTTTATATCCTTCTCAACGTAGTGGGGGCCCAGCGCTACCAGTATTCCACAGTGAGGGGTGGAGAGAGGGGCCGTGGCCTGGTGGGGGGCCTCGAAGGCCAACCTGCCGCCGCGCCGCCCCCGCAGCGCCTGGGCGCCGCGCAACGGGGTCCCTCCCCTCGTCCCTGCAA